TTCGCTTTACTTATTTTTCTGTTAGCATGATGCTTGAAAGAGGTAGGATTAAGTGAGTTAAAACCGGAAAGTCAACCCGAAATTAACCCTCATTCGTGCCAAGATGTCTTAGATTATATCACAATGTGGATTTTTGTTATTGAATCTGAATATGAGTTAGCTAATTATACGGATTGATTCATACATCTGTTTATAATAATAATTACTATTATTGGGCCAAATGATCACGAAGATAAGGTTTAACTCATTATGCACAAATCTCTCCTAATCATGATGTAAGAGACGACGAGGTGCGGTAGATGTAGAAAACACAAACATGGTCATAAAGATACCTTGAAAATATTTGTAACTTATTTTTGTTGACAAGAAGAAAAACAACACAAGTAGACATTTCTTCAGTGTTTGCATTTTCTTCGCCTCTAGGTAGATTCAGCATATGTTATCATACAGTTCAAGTTAATACAAATCTACTCATAATCCTGGAGTTTTTGTTTGTTTGTTGCGAAATTCATATAAGTAAAGACAAACCAGTGAATTGAATTGGCCGCCGGCTGCACAGCCTGCACACACCCAGAACCATGCCACGTACGGCAATTATTATTTATGTTAAACACATTTAATATGTATAGTCAATGTCATACAAATAAATCTGTATGCTGATTCGTATATCTACTTTATGGGATATTAAATAAATTCCACAAAACGCTATTTTTCCACATTCAAGGGCTTTTAATTTGTAAACAAAGAAAAAAAAAACTATACAGATATCTGTATCGCTTAATGTTGTTTACAGTGCCAGTAGTGGTATTTCTTTCTTTAATTCGATTATAATCCAATTTCTTTTAAAAAATAATTCGTTTCTTATATAAGAAAAATTGACCAGTGATTATTTATATTAGTTTTCGTAGACTAAAATTTGATGAGCTGGTCTATGAACTGGCTCGCCCATTGACGTACTTTCACGACTCAATCAAAACCACTAATCATTACCCCAATATAAATTTGCATTCTATTATTTATTTAACATAGATTTCTATTTCTTTGAATATTCGATTATTTAGACTACATCCGCTCGCTTTTTCTATTGCTTAAAGAAAAAGAAAAAAAAGAGAGTAAGCAATAGAAAATGCTTACTTGTTTTGCATAGATACGTTTATGTTTTTTCTTTTGGGTTAAATAGATAAATTTTAGTTGGTTCTGCATTTTTATCTGACCAGTAAACCATATCAAACTTTAAATGGTTAGATTATTTTATCAAGCAATGAGCATATCACCGCACAAAATTAGGGTGTTTTTAGCGTACAGTTTGGATAATGAAAACAAATAATTATATACTTGATTAATTTGTTATTTTTTCTTGCACACAACTGGAAGAACATTTTCTTTCTTTCTTTCCTAGCTAACTCGGTTTGTTTTAATTATGATGTTGATTAATTATGAAAATCACATACGTCATTGCCCACTTTATTCCTCCACTCCTAAAATCAAATATTTAAATGCAATGCAAGGCTGTATCCTCTGCTTTTCGTATTTCTGTTTCTGTAGTATAAATTATGTTTAAACTTGTTCGCCTATACTTCTTCCATTCTTTAACCCGTAATCAAATCTTGTGGTACTTAAACCAATAACTATAAGAAAACAAATAATCTACGGAGACAGAATATGGAAAAGAGCTTATTCAATATCAATCCTATGACCTCACAGTTGTGAATACCCTCACTTGGGTGGCCACAGCAGATTTAACATAGTTTTTGTTTAGCTTCCAGTACCACACCAGTTCCAATTGGACGTTGTGCTAGTTGGGACCAGACACATAAATAAAATTAAAAAAAAAAAAAAAAAACTTTAAATTAGCTATTTAACTTTTGGCCTGCCTTGTTTACATTCTCCATCCCGTGATGTAATCAAATCTTGTGTTACACAAGTTAAGTAATCAAATATATCGGTTTATTATCTTTGTAGTATAATTAGGGGAAGAGATGAAGACGTGGCGAAACCTTAGTAGGTGTCAGAAAACGCCGAAAAGACATTTGCCTAGATACAAAGCATAATCCTGATTAGTGTCTTAGTGATTAGTATGTCTCTTAATGCCTTTTACTTAACACAAACATGGCATGTGCCAGCAATCGCCACACACACGACCACTTAATTAGAACTAATTAACGATCACTCCTTTATTCACGCTTTTAATCCTAGATTAGTTAGATAATTTTGTTTTTGTTTAACTGCGCACGGCTGCAAACTCTAAACTGAAATTTCATTTTCTTTTCTTGCATTAGTTGTTGTGTTCTGTCATCTAAGTATGTACAATTAAGTTCCAATCTCTACGAATATGCATAACAAGTTTATAGCGTAGCAAACGAAGTCAAATTTGTTAATGATACTAATGAATGCCTCATGGTCCGTGAAAGCTATGATTACTTATTTTCTAGCTTGGAAGATAGAGGAAGACTAAAACTTCTGATTAGGTTCATCCCCTCTGCTTATGGCTAATTAATCACCGGCTCATAATGATGTTTTAGAGAATTTTTAAAATAGTTATTTAGAGATAAAAACAAAGAAGAATGACGGAGACGTCCCGTAGGACCGTTACTGTCCGTAGGTACAACTAGGCGCAGTGTTTCTTCTCTTTCTGATTTAAAATACTTGTTCTTCTGCCCAAACCCTCGGGTGGACTCGGAGGGTCCCCTTTCTGTTTGATTATTCGTTGACCAGAAAGCAAACACACCACACGTGTCATCTCCAAATACGCCTTAAACGATCCCTCGTCGGTTCACGTCGTCATCAAGCAAAGCGTTTCTTAATTGCTTGTTCTGGTATAGCAAATCTGGCTCTCGTTACAGTGTCATAGTGTTTCCATAGAAACTACAAAATGTTACACAATTTAGTCGATACAAATATACATAATCCCCCTCTTGTATGACTTTGATAGTTAATTTGTATACATGTTTCTTTTCCTAAATACCAAGAATATTAACGTAAAGTTTTTAGAAAAACCTAAATGCAATACTCTGATTTTGATATAGATCATTTTCAAGCTTTAGGACCCTCCTCGAATTCGTCCATGTATGTTCTACATAAAAATAATATACGCCAACTAAATTTTATAAATCGTATCCTTAAATTTAAGCCAAAATCCGGATCCACATTAGCTTTTCATCATGCACGAGCACAACCACGATCACATATTTCAACACGGTGTGAATCTTTCAAGATCTTGATTTTTTTTTTCGGTGGTAGAAATCAAGTTAGTAATTAGCTTGTAATCTTGTATATGACACAAATGTATATACGAAGTATAGTAAATGAGGAGCAGAAAGCGACAGAACAATGCCGATGCATAGCATATCGATGGATGGTCATGCAATTATTGAAATTGTAAGCAATAATGAAATATGCAGAGGCAAAGAAGATTTGGTTATAAGAAGGGGAAAAAATGAAAAGAAGAGATTGGAAGATCCTTAAATCCAACAAGTGGGGTACGTACGTACCGCATGAGGGGGATGCACCCTACCCTCCATATCATGCACTTGATTGACCCACTTATATTTATTTTATTTCCTCATTTTAACATCTGTTGCAAATATTTACAATTCATTAACGATCATGTATGTATGTATGTTCAAATTAGGTTTTAAAAACTATATGAAACATACATTATGATGTCACCAACAAAAGTCTTGATTAGACCGAGAGTAACAATTGCATATGGAGTTCATTTTCTTATGATTCACATTGAGATTTAAGTTATAATGATTAGTTTTTGCATATTTATTTTGGCTGCTTGTTGTTGTGAGAATATTTTTCAAAAGCAAGATGAACAAAAAATGGAGATGGGGTATCACCGCACATGGGGGCATGGACACATTTCCAAGCTACAAAAAATAAGTGCTTTGGTACGTCGTGTTATATTAATTTCATTACTTCAAAAGTACATATATTTCTAGAAAATAATACAAATGAAGTTGTTCAGGATACAAAGGCATATTCGGTTAACATTTAACTGCTAGTGGTGAGGAGAAGCTTATACAATTGGTATATATGCTTTGTTTATCCTAATTTGTTAATCTTAACAATTCCATTTACCCATGTGGTGGTTTTTATTTATTTCAAGTTTTTATCTGAAACCAAACTTTAAAAATTAAAAGAGACATACACACACATGTAAGTTTTAAGTACGTTGAGAACTTATGGGTGCAAATGATTGTCATTAAAATAAGTATGGAATAATTTTGAATGGAATAATTAATTGTCATGATTGAAGAATAATTTTGTTCCACTTATTTCTAAGAAAGTAGATAAGCAAAAAAAAAATTTCATTAACAAAATTTGTTTTTTGTTTTGTTTTGTTATCTTTCACTTATTTTTTGTTTGGGTCAAATTATCTTTAACTTCAAATGGGGAAATTTTAGAGGAATGACAAGTTCCACCATTATTATACTTTGAATTGTAGAACTATTTGCACCTAAGTTTGTATCTTGGCAAAATTGTATAAAGGATTATTCAAATTTAAATGTATTTTTTGTCAACAAATTAAATGCCTTGTAATTTTTGCCAACAAATATAAATGTGTTTCCAGTTTTACTGTTTTAATATTCTAAATTATGTACGGTCTAGTCAATAAAGTGATATAGATGCATCAAAATACGAATCTTTTATAATCTAAGGGCCAAGCATTTCTTTCCATAATGGTTTCACTAACACAATTATCAAAACAAAGACTTTCAATACGAACCATGATAATTAGCAAAACATAAAAAAAATCCAATCACTAATCCTCAAAGAGAGACAGAGAAGACAATTTCGTAATTATCGCAAAAACTTAATGGCATTGTTGTATTCCCTTCACTATATAAACTTTGTCTCTCCCAAATTCTCAAATCCCTCCACCTGACCATTTTCTCTCACTTTCTCTCGCTTTCTCGTGAAAGAAAAAAACACAGCACTCGCAGATTCCGCCTTTTCAATTTCAATTTGACTAAAGCGGAGGAACAAAAAAAATGACCGGAGGTCTTGTAAAATGCAGCAAGATCCGCCACATTGTGAGGCTCAGGCAAATGCTCCGGCGGTGGCGAAACAAAGCGCGGTTATCTTCTGCTAGCCGCTGTGTACCGTCGGATGTTCCATCTGGACACGTGGCAGTCTGTGTGGGTAGCGGTTGCAGGAGATTCGTGGTGCGCGCGTCGTACCTGAACCATCCGATCCTGAGTAATCTTCTTGTACAAGCTGAGGAAGAGTTCGGTTTCGTTAACCATGGACCGTTGGTTATACCTTGCGAAGAATCGGTTTTCGAGGAAGCGATCCGGTTTATCTCCCGGTCCGATTCGTCTCGGTCAAGCCGGTTTACTTGTCCCGAAGATCTCCAGAAATGCCACGGAGGAATCAAAAGCAAGCTTGACCTGTTGATCGAATCTCGGCCGTTGCTTCACGCCGTCGCCGAGAAAGCCATCTGGTGATTCTTTGAAGCTCGACGGTGAAGAGTATCGTTTCCGTACGATCTCTAACCCGGTTTGACTCGGAACGAGTCTAATCATTTGACTCGGGTGAGTTACCACAGAGTCGGGTGGTACTAATTTTAATCGGGTTCGGGTGTCTTTTTCATTTTTATTAAATATTTAGTTATATTGGGCTTTAATCGGGTGGCGACTGGCGAGTTACTCACTGAGTCGAGGCAGACGACATGGCGTGTAGAGAAGGAGATGGCGGTTAAAAGGTGGGTGAGTCGTTCCACCGAGTCATCCCGGGTTCGAGTCCGAGTTGGAGACTGTAAATGTAGTTAAGACGTAAGACAAATGAAACATTTTGAATTCATGAAAGAAGTCAGAAAGTGAATTAATTCAAGGGCTTTTGATTTTAATATTGCCACCCTTTCTCTGTAAATTCCGTAATTTTTACCATCGAAATTTATGCTAGGTAAAAATACTAAATGACTAAAATTTTACAATTGCAGTAGCTTATATATTACATAAGTACATAATGAGGAACTACAAGTCTATAAAGAATGTGATAAAGCTAATATAACCATGATTTTTGCAATAAAATTTTGCGATTTTAATTTAAAATTTTGAATATATAACAACAGAAAAACAAATTATGAAATAGTAAAAATGTTCAATCCGACCAAGGCCATGTGAGGGAAGGAGTATTAGCCCATTTTTTTCAGTTTCGCCTGACTGTGCTTTTGTCTTCACTTTCTCCATACAGTTAAAAGTACAGTCTACGGTACACATGGTCATTTACATTTTATTTAATCAGTGTTGAATGTCTTCTTACTGAAACTGTGTACTTTAGATTGTTTATCTAATAACTTGAACTTAAAGGTATTTAAGATGATTGTCGTGCTTACTCGCGTTCTCAATGGTCTATACTTTATACATAATGAATTGTCGTATCTCTATGTTTATGCGAAGAGACGACGAGTAATTTTAAACTAATACTCCAGTAAGCACGACAATCATCTAATTTAACTTGCCATATTATTACTCAGTACTATAGAGTACAACATTTCTTTTACAATAAGGTTTGTGTGATATTTTTATAGACGAACAATGACCACTGCATCTTACAATATGGTAAAAGACAATAAATACAACTATGAATAAATTCCAATAGTTGCGGCGGCATAAGTAATTTGGTAGGTTTGGAACCAGCATATGGGAACTGTTTCATAGGGTCAATGCAAAGTAAATGCGGTCAAATGTTAATAAGTAAGTTAAAAGCTAAAACAATTTAACTTGATTTAATTATTTGTAGAAGTTGATCAGAATAAAAATAAAAATGGTTTAATTATTCATATGCTTTTTCAAAAAATATAAATACAAACTGATTTGGTGCAACAGTACGGTGGTGAGCGCAGTCATGCACTAATGTCTATCATATTAGGGGCTTTGATTCAAAGTTCATTTTATACACTACTTCTCAACTGATTTTTGTTTGATTATTTATTGGCAAATACTGGGTAGATATGGAATGATCAGCTACCTGTTTTCAGTCACACATAAGATTGTAAGTATTTGAAAAGGAAATGCACTAAGGGAGAGAAAATGTTACACAATACTTTCTAAAAGTTATAATAATGTCGCAGATGTATATATGAAAATGACCCTGTCTCCATACTAAGCCCCACAAATATACGATATCTGGCATATGTTCTTATAACAATTCTACTTAAAATTGACCCTCTCAAAATGGAGAATACTTCACAAACCTACATATTCATCAATATGATACACAAATATCTACAGGTTCTTTTATATACGTACGAACAATGTACTGCCACTTGCCACTCGGAATGACATGAATTTAGGTGTGTGTGTGTGTGTGTTATATTTTAGAATTGGAGTTATATGAGATACGTTTTTAGTGGATCTCCATAAATAGTTACAAGATAATATTATTAGACAAAGAGACTTGATGAGTTTTCTTTTTTTGGACAGAAAATGATATGAAGATTCTTTTGAAAGGACAGCGAATAGAAGCCCATTGGGAGCCATCGATCCAATCACGGAACTTTGAAAACTACGTTTCTGCCCTTAACTTCCGATCATTTTACACAGCTGTACCCTTCATCAAACCCATCTCTTTTGTTTCCCTGGTAAAAAAGATTAAATTCGATGGAAAACTAAAGAATTGGGTCGGTTTTATTCTCGGTCGTCGTTGTTGTACTTGTATGTATCTATGCTATTTGTAGTGTCTCAAGAAAAGAAAGTAAGATAATCATGGTTGACTTTGGAGTCTTCCACACATGGTTCCCGTTAAAACTCCTTTGCATTGGTTTTATTCTCGGTCTCTTTAGTTTTTGTTCCAATGATTTTAATCTATGACAATGTATTAATGTATGTAGGATACTTGCGGCTTTGTTTATTTCAACTTGAGCGACATGCAGAGAACTTCATGTTCATATCCATTATAGAGTGATTTGAAATTTTGAAAAAATGAAAGAAAAGATAGGAGAAAATATATTAAAAAAATCTTTACGATTAGGGCTAATTCCGGTGGGTATATGTGTAGAGAAAACTGAAACCAGCGGCTCTTTTGTCTCTTTCTTCGCATATAGAGTCATATTCTTTCACATATATATTGGTTATGTTTTTTTTTTTTTCATTTCTCTTGATATAATATAAACTTTTTTTTTTAATTATATATAGACAAGCATTTTGATAATAGATGTAACGAGTAAATCGTGATTTTAGATTCGGCTTAGCATTTTGAATATGACATGACAAATCCTCTTCTATATCGATCGATTTATGTGATACTTGGTTTTGTTGTAAAAAAAAGAAAAGAAAACGAATAAGTGAGAAAACCGCCCAAAAACGTGAAAAGTCATACAGAAATAGGTCTGCTTCACTGATTGCATGTCTTTATACCAACTTTTCTATTGAAAGGTCAGAAACTTTTTGAGGGGGAAAATCAAAGTCTGAGGAACTGAGGAACGTAAGATATGTCACTTTGGTTGGCATTTGAGAAAATGGTGGTCAATTTTTGTTTTTTCATTATATCCATTCATTTGATTATATTTCTCTGTTAGTTTTTTTGATTTCTTGCATGTCTTGTCGATTGAAATTCTTTGTTTGGGCTTTTAAAGAAAGAATCTAGATCGATATCGCCGGGTAGTGTGTGACCAATAGGGATGAGCATTATTGGTTCTAGACTTAACTAGGATTTGGTTTAGCTGTTCGTGAAAATGACATAAAGAAATTAAAACATTAGTTCGGTTAGATATCTTCTGGAATTTTTGATGCTATATACATTTGTCACATGAATAAATATCTCTATACTAATTATGGTCGTGTGAATGAAACCTTACAAAATACAGTATATATTTTGCTTGTTTAGACTAAAATCACTATGATTCTAACTTTTGGTAAAAACTAAAAACTCAGAAAAGGTAACTGAAACTGAAAGTCATGTGAGTCTACTAGATTCTGCTTTTGTTGTTGCATGAACTCTTTCTTTTTACCTACTGTGAAATTTCCTTTTAACCGCAGCTTTAAAACGGATAGAAGCTAAATTGGGCTAAGCTGGACATAAGTACACCAAATAATAACTTTTGGTAAGGCATAACATAGGCCCAAATAACAAGGCTTTTGATTAAGTCACCTACTCACTTGGTAGGGCTGGTCTTTGGCTCTTTGCTCTTTATCATTCCACTCGTTTTTAACCTCCGATGTAAAAGAACCGGTACGGTTCGGTTGGGATGGATGGAGACAAGATGTTGTACCGGTTGGGATGGATGGAGACAAGATGTTGTCACGTGATTCAGTTACAAAACAAAACCGTTGGTTAATCACGTGATAACCGATTAATACGGTTTGGTTAGGTTTGAAACGGAGAGTTTGGTGAAGGACAGCGACAGCACACAAACGTGCACTTTCGAAAGTGTGTACAGTATACAGTACAATTCTCTCCATACCTTCTCATCATTCTCTCCCATTTTCTCTTTTTCACACACTTACTTCTATGATTGTATCTTATTCTTATCATTACATCAAAGAAAAGATAAATTTAACGAGGACCCATATTTGAGCTCTCTTCCATGCTTTTCTATTATAGACTTATAGTTATTGTATTCAAGAATGAACCATATGTAACAATAGACCCTTACTCTTAAATAATGGTTAAAATGTTATAATTTTTTATAAAAAAAAAATCTAGATAATAAGAAAAATGCTTTACTGGTGTTCTCATCCAGTAAGACATGTGTTCTCTAGGTTGAAGCTAGCTAGACTTCATGACATTGCAAAGCAAGGACGTACTTTGCTAACGAATAGTTCTTCTTGACCACTGCAATGTGAAACTGTTCAGTTGCACAAAAGGTACATAGTAGTCTAGAATCCAATATACAAACTAGTTAAGCAAAACAACAGTAAACAAATATAAGGTGCGCAGACGTCATCATGCAAAACCATTACCAAGAGCCTGTGTTCTAAAAAACGGCGTTTTTACCGATTCATCGGTCGGAAAAACGGTGAAAACGGGTTTGTAAATTTGGAACCATACAAAAAAATATAGGTTTAAAAATGTGGAACAGGGGAAAACTGATAGTAAGAGAGGGGGGCATGAATGGGTGATAAAAGGCACAAACAAGTGCAGAATAGTGCCAATCCATACAAAACAAAATCAGATTTACATAAATGATGAATTTGTGGGTCTTGCACTAAATTATTTGTTCTCCGCAGAGTTTCAATGTACTTATATGGCTCACTCTGAAAATAGGACCACATAAGTTTCTTTGGCAATATTTGGTCTGCATAATGATGAAGCTGTCTAACAAAACATGAGTTAAAAACAACCAAAGATACTATCTATTTTCTTTAATCAGGGAAAAATTTTTTGTTGTCCAAATTGGTTCATATATTAATTCTCATTTAAAACATTTTTTTCTTAATACATTGTCGAATTATAAACACAGTAAGAAAGATCTATGGTTCAGAAATAGAGACATGGACTGTGA